GGCCATTCAAAAATAGTCGGGGTTTACCAAGTCAATGAAAAATAGCCACTATTTTGCTGCAACAGAGACCAGTCCAGCATAATATACTGGAGTTCGGTGCACCTGTGTATGAACTTCCAGCATATTATGCTGGACCGGTATACTTTGTTGGCTCCAGTATAATATACTGCAGAGTGGAGCACCGGTGCTCCAAACTTCAGTATATTATGCTGGACCGGTATATTATACTGAAACTCCAGTATATTAGACTGGGGTTCCAACATAATATACTAGAACTCCAGTATATTATGCTGGAGTATTTTTCCGGATTTTGAACAGTGTTTTCGTTCAGATTTATCTTTAAACGAAAAGTGGCTAAATTTCAATTATTTTTGAAATTAGGCTATTTTTGAACGACCGCTTGTAAATTTGGTTATTTTTGAATTTTTTCCTAAATTCAACTGTACCGTTTTACGGGTAAACAATAAGGAAATTGGTGAAACTTATAGTGTTAATTCCTAGGTGACAAACAAATTCAGTGTTATCCAAGTTAATGAGGAATCGTCATTCTATTATAACGAGTATCACTGCAGGTTAATCTCATAAAGTTGCACCAACGTATTGTAATTTTAATTACATTTATTCTACTCTTTTAATTTGATGAAATTATGATTATCTCTCCTCGGGGGATTTATGTGAATTTTCCCATCCTCATCTCATTAAGATTTTTTTGTTTTTGTTTACTTTAGAAGTATGTCTTGGATAATTCTTTTAAAGATCAAAATCTTGGTATAGAAAAGATCAATATTCTTAGAGGGGAAAATAAATATTAAAATGTTAAGTACATCATAGATTTTACCATTTTTGTCCATATTTCGAAATAAAAGTATCTACTAATGCTATGTTAATTAAGTTCATTTGCAGCGTAAAAAAATTATTATGAGATAAAAATCACCATCCTTATTCTCAAAGGTTAGTTGTTCTATTGCAACTGAATTATTTATTTTATTATTTATAAAATTCTATTTATAGTTAACGAGAACCACCTTCATTATGTGCTTCATGTTTAAGTCGTCGCATGTTGGTTAAAAAAATATAGATAAAATAAAAATAAAAAGAGAAGAGGATTCTAGTCTAGTTTACATACATTAGTCTAGAATACTTTTGTAATTCCCAGCAGGGGGAATTACGCTCTTTGTCACTTGGCCCAATAGTTTATCAAAAAAATGGCCTACGTTTGAAGTTCTTACCTGATATGGCTCAGGTTGTACATAATCTGAAAATTATTTTTCACCAGTTAGCCTACCCTATTTTTTTCTTTTCTTCGTTCTTCTTCTTCCTCTTTCACTACTTTGCACCCCAAAGTTTCTCTACCATTATATATATTCTTCAATTCTCCTTCCAAATTCAAAGTTGATAATCACTATTAAGATGAGAAGAAAAATTACCACTAAAGAGAATTATTATTTTTGGAGTCACCATTAAAGGTCATTCGAAGCTTCAATTTCAGAAATTGAATTTTTCGATTTTGTTAGTTGTTTGGATTGGGTGTTGGCCTAATTGATTGGGATCGTCAAGGGGAGTTCAAAACTCAAATTTGAAGTGATTTGGAGCAGATTTGAGGTAGATTTGAGTTGAGTTTCAGAAGATGCCCAAAGAAGAAGAAGAACTGGTGAAGTTCCATTAATAGGATTCATTTGTATAATAGTGTATAATATTGTATAAATACCTCTTATACATTATTTTATACAAGGCTGATATATTATTTACAGGTGTTTGGTGGATTTCTCACGTTTCTTCTTCTCCTCCTCCTCCTCCTCATTCAACTACTACACCTATATACATGGTGTATCACTTACGATTTTCACTTGCAATGACTTCAAACTTTGTATACAGTCTACTTAGACTAATTTTAATAAGTTCAAACAATACACACTCCAAATTTCTCATAAAATCATATTAAAAAACTAACAAGATTAGTATTAAAGAAGATGAAATTTTAGATTTCTCGCGTCTGTTTGTGAATTTTCGTAGTTGTGATAGGTATGTACAAACTTGAGGAAAAAGGAGAATGAAAATATTTCACGCTTGAAGATATAGAGAATAAAAAAAATTGGAAAAAGAAATTTTAGATTTCTCGCGTCTGTTTGTGAATTTTCGTAGTTGTGATAGGTATGTACAAACTTGAGGAAAAAGGAGAATGAAAATATTTCACGCTTGAAGATATAGAGAATAAAAAAAATTGGAAAAAAAATCAGATCTAAGCTTATTGATATTTGGCTACACATTTACAAATTTGTAAATGGACTAAAATAATGCAAAATCAACTTATGGAGTGCATTATTATGTAATTTTGTCTTCCCAATATCATACGATAAATAGGAAGTACTAGCTTTTGTATGTTCCGAGAAGATGTTTTCTAAATATTAAAAACGAGAAATGCTGGACTTCTTTACTAAAATGATTGGGTTGTATATGATGAAAAGTCTGCTTATTTAAAAGGTGACCTCGTGCAAAAAGTATCATTTGTTCACGCAAGATTCTGGAAAGGATCGTATCCCACGGGATATGATGTAATAAATTATTCTAGAGGTGTTAAATGGGCGGGTTAGATCGATTTTGGGCTGATCAAAATAGGTTGAGTTAATAAATTTGACCCACCCAAAAGTTACTTGGGCTGAGATAGGTTGGGTTCAGATGAGCTTAAATTTAAGTCATAGCTCAACCCGCCCGACTCTTACCAAGCTTATGAATTGTATAATTACTAAATAAGACTTTTTTTTTTCTTTTGTTATGGTCATTTTGAATGACATATCAAATAAAATAAAAAAAATTAATAAACGGGCGGGTCAATAACCAACCCAACCTTGGGCGGGTTGGGAGGGTCATTTGAGCTTGGGCCAAATTTGGCAGCCTTAGACTATCCTAAGGCAAGTATTAGTGGTTACTTCCACGGCTCGAATCGGTGACCTATAAATCACACAGAGATAACTTTACAGTCGTTCTAAGGCCTCCTTAAAAGTCTGCGTATTTTGACTATTTATTTTGTTAAAGTGAATGCGGTATAAATTGACATAGTTGATACATGTTTTTGCGTGATTTTGTTAGTTAAAATTAATAGGTTGAGTTAAGCCTAGGTCGACTTTATATTCTCCAAATCCATCATCTTTTCTAGAAAGGAGGGAGTACTTTTCTTCTTTTCTAGAAAGTCAATACTCAATATATTAAATCTGCCTCTTTACCATGGAAGTTTCCTAGTATTAATTTAGCAGATGATTATTCAATTGAGTGGAATATTGATAAACAAAGCCGGCACAAAAAGAAAAAGGGTAAAAGAAGAGAGAAGGAGAAGAAATGGAAATTAATCTTTTTTTCCTTGTTTTTAGAGAAAAGGAATAAGAAATGAAAATTGTATAATTAATCTCGATTTTCAATCCCCACATGTTTCTTAATTTTTCTCATGGATCCATTGAATAAAACTAGTAAAACGGACAGTTTGTTAATACATATTGAATCTTTAGCCGCCTAATCTTCGCCAGAAATTGTGGATATGCAATTTTATTTTCTAATGCCCACATGTTTCATAGTTGATCTTTATTTGGCAACATCTTTTGGATTTATCAAAACCTTTTTTGAATATTCTTAAGATCAAGATTCAGGTCACAGGCTGGCCAATTGCCTCCTTCTATTTGATGTTTAATTATCACTTATCAAAAACACAAATTATTTTTTCCATTTTATTTTATTTGACACTATTTGAATGGATATCGAATTCAAGATGTTAATTATTTCGATTTTTGCATTATTTATATGTATAAATAACAGTTGAAGAGAATATTTAAATGAGTTATTGATAAAGAAAACATAACACTAAATTTTTTAGTAAGTTTAAATTCTTAGATAATTAAATAACATGATCCACTCTATTATTAGTAGAATTCGTATCAAGCATGTTGAAACAACGTACCTTAAAATAGAAAGAATGTGTAGGTTAGAGATAGAGGAAGAGGTTCAAAATCCATACGAATAAGAAAACGTTAGGTGATATCTTCCTATTTGTTTAAATTTTAGTGAACACACAAAATTAGTCAATATTAGATACTCAAATTGGAATTATAATCGAAGTATGCGTAAGTAATTGATCCGGACTCTATCACCATAAAATAAAAACAATTGAGATGGAGGGGTAAATATATATAGAGTGTGAGCACTTATGTCCAAACAAACAAATAAATAAATCTTACCCTTTTTTATTATAGAAAACGTGAAATGAATACATAGATGAAAATTTGGATTACCTCTGATCTTTTCGTTCCTCGTCTTTAAGAAAACCAAACCAGAGAAAAGACAACCTTAAAGAACTATTCTTTTTCTTTCACCTCCTTCTTTGAAAAATTATAGTATAGACTATAGCATATATAGCTAAGTTCTTTGAACACACACAAGACAGCAACAGTACTGCCATGCAAATGAAGATATATATANAAAGATTATAGACATTAATTTAAAGGTTATAATGGTAGATCAAGAAAAACAAAAACATAAAAAAGGCGTTAACTTCAAGCCAAATTATTATTCAACGTTGTCCATCAAAGTAGACCGCCCTTACCAAACATTAAAACCACTAATTATTATTCTTTAAAACCTATGTACGCGTCCGTTGAATCTGCTAATTGAACAAATCTTATCTATACCAATTAATCATATACTTAAAACATCTTCTATATATACTTCACACACCTACAAAAACTCACACACCACTCTTTCATATGATTACAAACCCTCCTTGATAAAATCTTGACTAGGTCTACTCAGTAGAATTAGTTTGTAGTCTTTATTGACCTGAAATACGAACTTTATCAATCATCTCGATCTGACCTCTGAAACTTTGTTCTCATACTCTTGTAGTCTTTGTTGATCTGAAACACAAATCAATCAACTCGATCTGAGCTCTGAAACTTTGTTAAAACCTGTAATACTCCTCGTTTGTCGTTCCAGGCGTACTACTTACCAAACTACCAATGGAGATATTACCAATGAAGATGAATAACTATAAGGTGGGGATTTTTCCTATATTTATTCATGAGAAAGGTGGAAAGAACAAACACATGAAGGGTAGTAATCAACTGAAAATTAGGGCAAATATGCAGACGAAGAAATCCAATAGTAATTTCTATGAAGTGCTTTCTCTCCGTTCAACAAATGTAGGGTTTGAAGAGATAAAGAAAGCTTATAGATGCATGGCTCGTCAATACCATCCTGATAATTGCCATAATTCAAATAAAGAAGAATCCACGAGACGATTTATTGAGCTGAGAAAAGCATATGAAACTCTTTCTGATCCAATTTCACGTCAAATTTATGATTATGAGGTGAGTTTAATGGATTCTTTTGAGAGTGAAGTGATTTGGAGACAATCTAAGGAAAATAGGGAGACAGTTTTCACTAAGGAGGTGTGGGAAAGACAGCTTGATGGGTTGAGAAGACGATCTTGTAATAGAATGGAGAAAAAGAAAAGTATGTTCAGCTCGAAATTAAACTAATTAATTAGTTGTTAATTTGTAATACTATCTTCGTTTAATTTATGCTTATGATCAAGATATGATTTTAGCTCATTAAATTTTTTTTTATTGCAAGGTCACTAGCTTGCACTACACGTTATATTGTAAGGCCGCAACTTATGCATTGACACGATGGACTCTAAAATACATAAACTTTTAATTATATGTACTAATCGTGAAAAGATATTTATCCCGTCACGTTACATAGAAAGTAATTGCAGGTATTCTATTAAATCATAGTTAATTGGTAGCTTAGAATAAATGGTAAGTAACTTGCTATAACAAGTTGATTTACTATAAGTGTATTTAACTTAAATATAATCCTAAACAATTTATATTTACATAATCAAGTCATGTATAAGATAATTGCAGATAAATTTTTATGATAATCGTTAATTCCTGTAACATGTTGAAAATACATCGATAGCTGAAATTTTTTATACAATGTCTGTGTGCGTGTGTGTATATATATAATGTTCTTCTTTTCAAGCTATATACGGGTAGGAGGACTTGATTGGTTCCAAATTGTGAATTTCATGTTGAATTAACCCTGCTATCCTCTACTTTTTATTTACAATAAATATTATGTTTTGTAAGAAACATGGTAAGTTTTTTTTTTCTTTCTCCCCACCCCAGAAACATGTTAGTACTAAGTCTTTATTGTCTAATAATTGGACAGCAGATTGCATGTGCTCTTCTTATTTCACATCTTGACGTTCAACTTAGTAAACCAATTTGATTAGTGTGATTAAAGCCTCTCTCTAGTTAAGTTTCTTGCCATTATAAATGAACCAAAATTAAGTTCACAAGTCAAACAAGAGGACACTAATTATTGATTTCGGATAAAATACAAAATCGACCAGTCAGCCGAATCTAATTCCATTCGCTAGCCAAAAAAATGTACAAAATATGTATATAACATGTATATAATAGTATAATACACACACACACACACACACACACACACATATATATACACACACACACATTTGTCGGCTATTTTTTTTTTCTGGAGGGGCTAAAATTATACATTTCTCACTGATTTATGCATCAGCAAAAAAATTACCATATTTAAGTCCAGCCCATTGAATCATGATTGGAATTTTGCATAGTAATATGTCAAACCAGTTGATGGTTAAATTGTTTCCTAGTGAATAAAATAACGAAAAGAAAGAAAAATGGTTTTGATAATGATCCATAAGGTGATTGATATCATCTCCAATAATTACTTTATAAAGAAGGGCCTTTTGTAAGCAGGTAATTATCATATATTACTACTAAGCTAAGATGTGTTTTGATTTGAGGCACACTCTGTTCAAAGCAAAGATCATAACAAAGAAAGGAAATCATGAAAAAGAAGAAGATTCCAAAGGTTTATTGGCTAAGGAGATTGAGATATGGGAGAAGCAACAAAAGGAGATGATAAATGAAGGAACTGATCATGATAATTTGCAGCCCTTGGATTCATCATCTGCCAAGAACCAATAATTCTTCTATTAAATTCCTTTTGGTAATTCTCTTTGTTGATAGTATTTGATGCAAAATTAAGAAGCCTATTTGTGGATCTTAATTGTACCCTAATTCCTCTCTATTGTTGCCTTATTACCATGAGAGTGCTACCTATTTAATTTAGAGTTGTAAGAAAAGTTAATTACATGCAGTATGCTTCTATATATGCTATTATCATACACGGATTCAAGATTTGAACTTAATATATTCAATCTTTGAGGCTGCCTGCATTACACCACCTTCGGGTGCGGCCACGGGATGCTTTGTACACCAAGCTACCCTTTTTCTTTTTATAGTTTCATAGCCGAATTATTGATTGAGCGCGTAGCGACAAGTAAGACTATTAATCTTGTTCTCTCTCTATTCTAGGTCCACTGGTCACCAAAAATACTTTTAAAGTCACAATGTTGTAAAGAAGAATGGCCTCTTTACAATTAGTAGTACTACTTGCTTGGCAAAGATGTGTTTTGGTTTGAAATATGATCTCAAGAAGGCAAAGATCATAACAATGAAGGAGGAGGAGATTTCAAAGTTTCGTTGACTAAGGAGATTGAGAGATAGAATATTGTTTGATGCAAAACTAAAGAAGCCTATATATGAATATAAATTGTGTTTTATTTTCCTCTCTTTTGCTGGCTTACAACTATGAGATTGCTCTGTACTTTTCCTATCGCGCGAGAGCTTTAACAAAAGTTACATGCAATATGCTAATAGTGCTAAGTGCTAACAATCTAGAGGAGGGATATTGCTTTTCTGAATAAATTCATTCCAGAAAAATGTGAGTAAGCTACATAACAAGATCGAAACCAACTAGTTAGTACATAGGATAAACTATTGTCAGCTGATAAAATGAAAGGATCACCAGCCAAAGAAGACACATTATTTAAGAGGACTGGAGTTCATAACGTTGTATCAAGCAGGATTCAGCTAGATCGGTGCATAACACCAGGTACAAATCCAACCAAACAGCAATATATCTTTTCCTACAAATTAGCCAAACTGCAAGAAGTCGTTTCCAGATGATCCTAGAAGACTATGGTCTGAACCCCTCCTTATAGAATTACTCTAAACAACATGTAGAGAGTCTTTGCTTCAATGCAACTTGCAGATCACAACAACATTCCATCCTCAATCTAATTTGCCAAATCATAGCATAACATGTTCATTTAGTTTCAATTCTGGAATAGAATATGAATGTCCCCATTGTGTCAAAAGGTCTAAATAGTAAAAAGCTAGTGACTACTGACTAGCATCCAATGCATGCCAATACATAGCCTTTCTGCAAACAGAGTTTTGGCAATAGAAATATCAGATTGGACATAAAGAACAGTGCTTGATCTATCAAAGGAGTTGATTGAAAGAAGGAAACAGGGTGTCTGAAGTCTTGAAGCAGGTTCAGAAGAAAAACTGTGAACTTCTATAAGCCAAGCATGTCTGTATAGTCGTAGCTCAGCTGAATAGATTAATTAAACTTAATCTCATAGAGCATCTTGGTGTTAATTCCTCATGAACCACTTTAAATCAGTACAACCTCTTCTTTGAGTGTCCAACTTTTATCACTTGACAAGTTCCCAAGGACACTCATGACTTTAAAAGTAAAACACAAAAATTTTCGTACGAGGATATCACCGACCTTTGGCTCACCGACTATACCAAATAAAAGCAAGGGCAAACTAGTACTTTAGGCACTTTCTAAGAGCAGAAATGTTTACTTCGCTAAAAACTGACATTAAATGGGTCCATAGCTTTTGGAGGTGACAGATGCACTATGCCGGTATTAGCAGAGAACAACCTAACATTCAGTTTTAGATATTACAGAAGCATAACACTCTGGTTCAGATGGTCCTCCATCTACAAGGAATATCAAGAGTGTGATGTCTAAATTATAATATACTGCTTCTGCACATTACGAATTCTAGTGATGAATCTTGATAACATTCTAGATTAATCGGGATGATCTAGCTATTGCTAGAAACCATGAGCAGAAACCAGCTTTGCGAACATATCAAATCTTGTAGCTTAGTAAAAAAATATGACTGAGAATGACTTCATCATTTCTTCATTTTTGGACAGAATACAGGTAGTTAACTCTTTCTAACACCAGGACAAATGTTTATTAATTCTAAGACAACAAAGAATGCATCACAACATACAATCACAAAATTAGAAAGAGGAAATGAGATCACTTAAAACGTAATCCGAATTCTCATTTTCAATTACATCTACAAAGAACAATCAATACCTCATGTTCGAGTACAAGTTGAGTCAAAATCATCAGGAGCAACTCTAGCAATCCAATTGTTAAGCGTCCTCTTAATATCCGAATGATTAACATAAGCCAATTCATACATACTACACAAATTCACCACAAGAGTCTCGTTTAACGCCACAGTCGGAACCCTCTCCAAAGCATTCTCCAAAACCTTAATAGCATCGGATAAATCCCTCGAATACATCAAACACAAAGCCTTATTATTCATTGCCACCATGTCCATTCCATCCCTCTCGATACACACTTCATATTCCCTAACTGCAGACACATAATCTTTCTCCACTATATACATTAATGCCTTATTCCTACTCACCAAATTCCTCAACCCCACTTCACTTTCACTCCCTACCATCCCCTCCACCGAATTAAACGCCTTTTTCGCGCCCTCCACATCACCATACTGCATTTTTACATACCCTAATTTTGACAACACATTCAGATCATCATTCCCACATAACTCAATCAACATATTCAACAATTCCAAGCACAATTTAAAATCTTTTTGACTCAAATGGTGACTAATTATCGTGTTCAACACCAAAACTTCCCTCCTTTTCCAAGATTCCTTACTGGGATTGGTTAAAGTTTCAACCTTTTTTGATCTAATGTAATCAAGGAGGGTGTAAAGCCGGTCGAGTGACTTCACGCGCTGGCCAAGCGCCTGGGGAAGATAAGCGTGGAGCCAACGGAGAGCAAAAGGGACGAAATTGCCCTTCATGTTGGGGTAATGAGAAGGGTAACTTTGGTAATGGAATTGAGGGGAGTTGAAATCTTCTTGGCCATTTTCGAGGAGGGTTTCAAGCTCTTGATTAGCGTCAACGGGGCGGCGGAGCTTGGTGAGAGCTAAGGCGTTGAAGGTGAGGTAGGTGAGGTGTTCGTGGGGTTTAGTGAGGAGGTTGAGGGAACGCGCGTGGCCGACTTTATCGAGGATTGATTTCCAAGCGCCGCGAGCTGCTAGGTCTTGGAGATCGGAGAGGTCGTGGCAGAGGGTGTTTAGGGAGGTGTATGGGTTGTTTAGTGGATCGTCGATGACGGTGGTGGTGGCGGTGGGTTGTGGTGGATTTGGGTCGGGTGAACCGGCGGTGTCCATGGCGGAGAGCAGTTGTATATGGCGGAGGAGACTGCGGAGTATTGGATCGAGGAGCTACCTTGATCTGGATGTTTGAGGTGGTAATGGTGTAGTTTTGAAAGTTCGGGTCGGGCTCTCGAGTGGGTTCGATTTGAGAGGGATCTAGTCAATTTTTTTTCACGAGGGATCTGGTCAATTGAATTTAGGAAATTTCAACTCAATTACTTTTGTTATTTTTACATTTTTATACACTATATGAAACTATATTACCTTCCCTATTCAAGTTAGACTATAATTATATTTTATATACCCAATTATCATTTATGTACATTTTAAAGGGAATTAATGATAATAATTAGTGTCCTAAAATCACTCTAACGTATCTTCCACTCCTCCACGTTTCTCTCTCTACATCCCACCCCTCCCCCACGTATCTTGCACAAGAGAGCAACTAACTCCATCATTAACGACCATTAAAAAGCTTTGAAGCTTTGAAATCGAATTTGAGTTTTCAAAAAATATTATTTGTTTGAATTGAGTGTTGTTGCAAAGAATTGAGAATTCTCTCTACGTCTCTCTATTTCTCAATTCCTAATTTCAGTAATGTAAAGCAAAGGAAAAGAGAGCAGCAATTCCACCATTAACAGCCATTAAAAAGCTTTGAATTCGAATTTGGATTTTCAAAAATTATTATTTGTTTGGATTGGGTGTTGGTGCAAAGAATTGAGAATATAGTTTGGAGTTTATATCTCAATTTTGAGGGTGCTTTGGTGAATATTAGACTCGATTTTGGTTGAATTTCAGATTGAAACTCGAAAAAGAAGAAGAAGAAGACATGATATACATTATATTTACGAAATTGTAGTAAAATTATAGAAAAATTGTAGAAATGTTGTATTATGTATGCGTGTGTGTATATATATAACTATTGTATGAAAGTTGAACAATATTGTATAAAAATTATATTTAAGTTGTATGATATTGTAGTTGTATATAATTGAATAGAAATAATGTAAGAAAATTGTAGATAAGTTGTATAATCTATAATCAGTTGTATAAAATTTGTTTTTACTATGTATAAACCAGATACAAAATATACAAAAGACAAATTGCACAAATTTTGTATAAAATTTGTATTTAAGTTGTATGTTATTGTAGTTGTATTTAATTGGGTAGAAATAATATGTGAAAGTTGTAGATAAGTTGTATAATCTATAATCAGTTGTATAAAATTTGTATTTAAGTTGTATGTTATTGTAGTTGTATTTAATTGGGTAGAAATAATATGTGAAAGTTTTAGATAAGTTGTACATAAGTTGTATAATATTGTGACGACCCGGCCAGTCGTCTCATGAGTTACCGCTCTGTTTCCCCCATTTCTGCATCTTATTGCTTTGTTTATCGGTACTATGTGTGATCGGGTTGGTTGGCTCGGGTTCGAAAAGGTTTTGGTAAGGTTTGAGACACTTAGCCTCTTTTGAGGAAGTTTAAGTTAGAAAAGTCAACCGGATGTTGACTTATGTGTTAGAGGGTTTGGATGTGAGTTTCGATGGTTTGGATAGCTTCAGGAGTTGATTTGAGACTTAGGAGTGTGATCGGAATGCGTTTTGGAGGTTCGCAGTGGATTTAGGCTTGAATTGGCGAAAATGGTATTTTGGCGTTTTCCGGTTGATAGGTGTGATTTTGATATATGGGGTCGGAATGGAATTTCGGAAGTTGCAGTGGGTTCGTTGTGTCATTTAGGATGTGTGTGCAAAATTTCAGGTCATTGGTGCGTGGTTTGGTAGACTTTTTGATCAAAAGCGGAATTCGAATTTTTTTGAAAACTTAGGCTTGAATCCGATGTGTTTTGATTGATTCGATATTGTTTGAGGTGTTTTGAAGATTGATACAAGTTTGGATAGTGGTATATGACTTATTGGTGCTTTTGGTTGAGGTCTCGGGGGCTTCAGGGTGATTTCGGATGGTTGGCGGAAAGTTTGGAAGTTGGTTTTGGCAGCTGAAGATGTTCCATTGTTGTCATAACCGCACCTGCGGCTAGGGGACCACAGGTGCGGTCTCGCAGAAGCGAGTTTGGAGTCACAGAAGCGGAAAGAGCCTAGGAAGGAAGGAACCGCAGAAGCGATTGAAGAACCACACGTGCTGTGGCGCAGGTGCGAATTGTGCATCGCAAATGCGGAAATGAGGATTTAAGTGAGGACCGCAAATGCAGCGTCTTGGACCGCAGAAGCAGTAGCTGGACTGCAAATGCGAAATGCCTGGGCCAGAAGGTATAAAAGTATTCCTTCGCGATTTTTGAGTTATTCTTCACCATTTCAAGTCGGTTTTGGAGCTTTTTCAGATAATTTATCCGTTTTGTATTACCATCTTTGATCCGCTCATATCCGACCTGACTCGCCCGTTTGTCATCCCCTACTCTTGCCATATGTGGTAGATGGTTCCACGCAAAGTCATTTTATACACCTGGACTCCTCCTAATTGACCATTTTATTTCCTTCGCTCAGTTGTAAGAATTCCTCCTAATGCCTTGCAATCATAACATCATGTGCCATATGCTTGTTAAAAATATACACTTAAAGAAAAGACGTTGATGATCTTCCGTGATGCGCATAATGGACAACTTGGACTAAGCTCAGAGTCCTATTTTATCAGTTTGTCCTTAGTATATAGTCAGCATTGGATTGCTAGGTATAATGTGAATCCCCAGTTTGGATTCCCCTAATTATTGCAAGTCGATCTCCTCCAAGCCACTTTAAAAAATATTCCTCTAGTTGATTATACACTATTCTAATAGACTATTTTTCTACTCATCAAAACTTCAGCTATCCTTAGCTCAACTTGAATGAGATATTTGTATGCTTTAGTAATTTTCTGGACTATCCAAAAAGCTTATGTGGGGTTCACATTCCATGCTTCTTTTCCTCTCATATAATATATGGGAACCCATCTAATTTAGAGCCTGTCTGTTTATGTAAATCATAAATTCTAGAATTTTTTGAGAATTGCTATTTTGTTCCAAATTTGGATATGAGTATGTTCAAGCTTCCTGTTAATTTAGGCAAGTCATGTTGGACTTATTCCTGGAAGCCCATATTGATTTTGTTATTGGTACATTTCAGTAGTCATTTATTTGTGATTGGGCCAAGCCTAGTTTTCCTTTAGTGATCAACTATTTGTACCTGGGTCGGATTTTTTTAATAAAAGAATCGACTTTTAAATATTTTTAGAGACAAATTTATTTTGTATTTTTCACCAACAGTTCAATAAAAAATTCTTTCTTTTTTCTCATTCTCTCTCGAACTGTAGCTCAAGTTTTTTCTAAATTTGTGTTGATTTTCGCTGCAAACATGATATTAGAGGTAGGGTTCCCCGAAGCCCTGATTAAATTTGTAATTGGACTATTTCAATAGTCATTAATTTGTAAATGGGCCAAACCCGATTTTCTTTTATTGATTAATATTTTGTACCTGGTTCGAGTCTTTTATATAAAAGAACCAACTTCCAGATATTTCCAAAAATGAATTCATTTTGTATTTTTCATTAACAGTTCAATAAAAATTTCTCTCTCTTTCATCTCATTCTCTCTTGAACCCCGGCTCAATTTTTTTCTTAATTTGTGTTGATTTCCGCTACTAAAATGGTATCAGAATTAGGGTTCCTCGAAGCCCAAATTGATTTTGTTATTGGTTCATTCAATAGTCATTTATTTATAACTAGGCCAAGCCTAATATTTCTTTACTGATTAATTATTTATACATGGGTAGGGTCTTTTAGTAAAACAACCGGCTTTCAGATATTTTTAGACACAAATTTATTTTGTATTTTTCATCAACAGTTCAATAAAAGCTTCTCTCTTTCTTCTCATTTTCTCTCGAACGTTAGCTCAAGTTTTTCCCAATTGTATTGATTTCCGCTGCTAACATGATATCAGAGCTAGGGTTCCCCGAAGCCCAGATCGATTTTGTTATTGGACCATTTCATTAGTCATTTATTTGTAAATGGACCAAGCTTAATTTTTCTTTATTAATTAATTATTTGTACCTCGGTCAAGTCTTTTAATAAAAGAACCGACTTTCAGATATTTTCAGAGACGAAATTATTTTGTATTTTTCATCAACAATTTAATAAAAATTTCTCTTTCTTCTCATTTTTTCTCGAACTCTAGCTCAAACTTTTTCTAAATTTGTGTTGATTTCCTCTACTAACATTGCATCCGAGATAGGGTTCCCCGAAGTCCAAATTGATTTTATTTTTTGTCCATTCAATAGTTATTTATTTATAATAGGGCCAAGCTCAATTTTTTCTTACTGATTAATTATTTGTACATGAGTATCTTTTAATAAAAGAACTTGTTGAGATTCAATTTTATTCCACTTTTTTTTCAATTAATCAATTTGAGCTTCTAAGTTATTAATAAATCGAATACCTTATTTTTGCTACTATTTTTTTATCACAATGATTACTACTACTATATCATTATTATTAGCATTAGTACTAGTATTAATATTAGTATGAGTGTTATTATTACTATTATTAATATAAATCACTCTTATCATCTTTTGTAAAAAGTATATTACTTTCATTTAGTTAATCAAATAATAATGTTCTTTTTAAATTCTATACTTTATACATATTTATTCTTACAATGGAATGTTACTTAATAATTAGTGTAGGTTAATTTAAAAATTTAAATGCTATCTACTATAATTATATTAAGGCATATTAAACAGTTTAATTCACATTAACATGTTAACAATATGTCGTATTATGTAATATGGTTAATAAAATTATTTTAATCTAAATTAGAAGCCCAAAGAAATAGGAGGAAGAAAAAAAATCCAAACAAAGTCTATATGGCCAAAATTTTAGCTAAATTAATTGACCAAAGACCCCTTTATAAGACTTAAACGTGGCCCAAAGAAAATCTCAATAACAATCCATTTGACTACACTCAAAAAAAATAAAATATTTTCGGATAGCCAATCACTCTAAGCCTAATCAGGTGAAAAGCCAAAACACACATTAATCAAAATAGGTTTTTCTTTCTCTTTCCCTCTCAATGCCAACTTCTTCCTCGTCCTTTTCTTTGATGGACAGATTCTCCTCTTGCCTTCTTCCCACTTTTGATGAAAGTTTCTATTCTC